CATGATGTCTATGTTCTTCTGCAATACTGGAAGTACGCCTCCTATAAGAGCTCCAAGGAGCCATATCCTATAGAAAGGGACAGAGGAAGGCTGTCTAAGACGGCGTGTGCCATTGGAGTGCAGCGTAAATTTGTCACCACACGACAGAAATGTGCGACTACTGGTTCTCGGCGTCGCTGCGAGTTCGCGGCGACTATCCGGGTTGAAGTTTCTAATAGTTTTTTAATATTATTTCGTCATGTGGAAGTGGTATGGCTCCAGGCAGGCAGCTCATACGTCTATCTAAAACAGACTATTTACACAAGGAAGCCTATGAAGAGCTTTTCGCGACAAACTTATTGTAAGGCCAGTGTCAGAGTCCGCGATCCGATTCGCGCGAATCGCAAAATCGCAAGTGCCCCATTTGAACATTTGAAACACTGAATATGAAACAAGTAGAATCATGAACAGTCGTCATTCAACCATCACCATCAAGCAGAAATGGCGGCGGGATTGGAGAACACCTTGCAGTATTGATCGGGGCACTTGTGATTTCTGTGATCCGTCGCGCGATTCGCGCGAATCGCGCGACGGATTGCGGACTCACCAGCCCAACTGAAGCTGAACCCCACTCACCTCGTCGAATGTCGGAGCGATCAAAAAAAACTGAAATTGGTAGAGCTCAGTTCAATAACAACCAATCCATGGCTGTCGTCGCGATCTCACTGCTGCGCGTAGCGACCTCTGAAGCGCGGATGCACACTTCGTTTTCCGCTGCGGAACATGCCGTAGTTGCAGACACAGTAACACGGACGTCGCGTCGTGCAATCAGAAGCGTCAAAAAGCGCACGTTTCATCGGTAATGTAAGGTTGTCGCCACGATGTTAGTGTTATCGCTTTTGCGGAATCTCTAGCACATTTGATTATGACCTTGAAAAAATCAATATCATGTCCGCTTGTTATGCTACTATTGATTATATGATCCAACTTTTTTTGTTGAGTCTGCAACTATGGCAGCTTCTTAAACGAGAAACAGAGTAATCTGCGTTCCCAGGGCATCCGCAGAACGACTGTCCCGAATGACATATGGTCTTAATGCATCTCATTTCAGTTATGATGCTGACGAAGCACCATGCAATTCGTTCATTCCCATGTGGGAAACCGTGGCTCATAAGTGAGTTCTTTTACCTCCTGTGTTTTACTGGATGAAAACTTATAAACTGTTCAGTGAACTAACGTTTTTACATCAGGCATCAGAAGAATTTTACTTGAAAGCTGTGTTAAAATTATGTGGGAAAATTGAGCTGAGTGAACGGGTATCGGACAAGAGGCCCGCAAAAGGCAGAGGCGCTCAAGACGGCGTCGCGTAGCAAATGGCAAGAGGCGCAGCGGGATCAGCGGACGATGTTGCAGCGTCAGTACGATCGGCGTCGAAGCTTCAAAAGAAATGCCTGTCCTATAGTACGGGAGTAAGTTGCATCACAAAGTGCGGAACTCAATCCTGACTGACCAGGTCCGCGTTTCGCCTTCTCTAGTCGCGCGCGACATACCTCTGTACGGCGTTACGCCGCAGTGAACGGCGGAGAAGCTGCGGCGGCATAGGAGTAGCAACCATGAGCTTCCGCATTGGCCTCGGTGGATCGGACAGCGAAACTCTCTCAACAACAGTGAGAAACGGTGCCGTGTAGGCAGTTATCCGTCACTTGTGCCTCAGGACATTAGTCTACGAGAATAAAGAAGCGCTCGGATGTATCAACTAGCCAAGCTAATGATCACGCACTCACAAATCAAATCAACATTGAAAACTGCGAATTTGATTGGAGTATCAAATGTGCATATGCGGCATCGACAAAGGTTAGCCGGCACTATTTGCCCCACCCCCCCCCCCCCCCCCGCCAGTAAGTCAGGAAACTGCGATTATCATCATGGAGATCGGAATTTGGAGTATTTCTTATAGAGCATCTCAAAAGTTTCGTATGTCTTATCAGTGATGTGTTGTCTGGGTAGCCAAGAAAACTGAAACATATTTCTGATAAATATTGAACTTTCTTTTTTTGAATATTTCGACTTTTGTAGTTGTGTTTTTACTTCTGCCTTGAGGTTGTTAGGTGGTAAATTTTATTCTGGCCAACGTTTCGACGGACTCGTCGTTTTCAAAGGCCTGAAAATGGCTCAAAACTTACGAATTGCACACTATCCCACCAAACGCCTCCTCCGCTCTAGCGTTTCTGACGTTCTGTCAGGAACGCTCGGAAAACACCCAAAATCGAACGAGATAACAGCTTCATCTTTTACACCGGCAAGTGTAGCAGGGATGCCTACACACAGTCAGTACATTAGTAGCGAATGACCTTTTATGGAGCGTTCATAGTTGGCGATCGTACGTGCGATTAGGCGAGTTAGGCGAGTAGGCGATTGGGCGATTAGGCGATCAGGCGAGTAGGCGATCAGGCGATGAGTAAAGGATACGTATCGATTAGGCGAGTACGCGAGTAGGCGAGTAGGCGAGTAGGCGATTAGGTGATTATGCTGGATTGTATTGCAACAACACTTTGACAATCTGCAGCTTTTTACCAACTAGTAGTCTAGGTATGGGTGAGCTAATATGCATGTGCGCCTCATTTTGACGGACGACTAAGAGGTGCGCCGTGTGCAAATCGCCTAATCGCCTACTCGCCTACACCTACAGGGCCCTCAGGGCGGATCATACAAGTCGATACGTATGTAGTCTTCATCCGCCTGATCGCATACTCGCCTAATCTATAGTTATATTTTTCATTTAGACTAATCGCCTAATCGCCTAATCGCAACTATGAACGCTCCATTACTCTGTTGTCCTTATGCAATTTTGATATTGCAAAATATTGATAACGTGCTTGTCCGGCTATCAAAATTGCCTGAAGGACAACAGCAGTAAGGTCCATGTTCGCCCTACTATATGAACCTGGCTGTTGATGTGGCACCCTACACTACGCACTGCTACACTTCGCGGGGGTAAAAGGGAGCGGGATCCTCTTCGCATTTGGCCGTGTTGTCCCGGAAAACGGGTAGAGTGGAGGAGGCGTTTGGTGAGATAGTGTGCAATTCGTATGTTTTGAACCATTTTCGGGCCTTTGAAAACGACGAGTCCGTCGAAACGTTGGCCAGAAATAAACTGTATAATCGTACAACTTTAAAGGACGAATTCACGATCAGAGGGAAAATCGAATTAGGAAGAATTCACCTGGTTGAGGGACCCGCGGAGCTCCTAAGTGTGCGAACTGAAGCACAATTTGCACAGGAGGAGTTGACCTCGTTGACCTATTAAGGTTTAATCCCGCCGCGGCTGGTCAGTGCACGCCCACCGATCATCTGATCACTCGCCGCAGGTCTATACGTGGTGAGTGATTAGATAGGTGAGAGAGCGTAGCGTTGAAGAGGGCACAGCGATGATAGTCGCATCAATGCTCAAATCAACGGGCAAGGAAGTGGTCCCATTTCTCAGGTTCTGGGCCGTTTCGCATGGTTTTTCCTTCTTTAGTGTACCACTCACCATCGCCTGACTTAAATTCTGAAATGGTTGCTTTCCAGAGTTTGAAATTCGTTCCGTTAAGGCAGAAGTAAAAACACATACTACAACATCAACGGAACATGCCGAGGTTTTACAGATGAGGGACTTGGAACTTGATCGACTTTCTCTTTTTCAAAACCGTAAAGCTGGTCCTTATTGATTAGCAATAATTTCAGACTTCGAGGTTTAGTACACGTCGGCAAAGTTGAGACTTCAGTGAATGATGACGTCACCGATCGGTTCCACATCGATGGAAATCGAATTGCCGACGTTTTTTGCTGTTCAGTTTATGAGATAACTGTATTCGACGATTCTATCGAGATAAACCATGCGAATAAGCCGCATCTTTCAGGAATCTCCATCGTGGCAAAATGCTATCGCTATAAAGAATCCGCAAAAGACGTGCGAACCCTGACCAAATTTTGCTCTGTTCAAATTTCAAAGAACAACGAGGAATGAGGTGATGTAATCGATATTCTATTGACTGATCCATTAACAATCAGAAATCAATGGGTAGATGTGTTTTCCTGTGAGCTATGGACCATGTGCCCCATTTTGTAGAAATTATCGAGTTCAGAAAACCCTTTGTGTTTCAGTGGCTTCCCACTTTCAGCCGTTTCTGCAGCGCTATTTACACACTCGAATTTCGTATAACACCAGTTCAAGAAGACGCGGCAAAACAACAATGAGATCGCCTCAAATTCACGAAATAGTGGCCCTTGTGCCGTGGGTGCAGAGCTCAACACATGTGTTCGCAGGTTTCGGAACAACTTTGCAACCTCCCCTTTTTTTTTAGGATCAGGGCACACGATCTTCCTCTCTACTTGTATACTATCCATAAGATAGTTCGACACAAACCAATACCACAACTCCCCGCGCCTCATTTATCTTCGGAAATGGCCGTCGGGGGGCGTTTGGGAGGCCTAACTAGAAAGGTTAAGATTGGTAGCGCATGCAACCATGCAAATACCAGCTTTTTCGCTCAAGTTTAACCCTAACTTGCGTGTAACTATTTTGTCAAAATATCGCAAGACCGCCAGAAACAAAGCCATCTTACGACCCGGTCCCAACGTCTTTCCGGGATGGTTGACCTTGCTCAATCTCAAATGCGACCTCCCATTTCTCAGAATAAGAAGACGCACCTTCGTTTGAATAGTGCGAACGGACGAAGACTATAGCTTGTTGGCACTTTGGAACGGATTCTACGAATAGCCGCATCATGGCACGTGACGCTGCCCTGCCTCTGCCTGGCCCTCGCTCGCGGAAAAAGGCTATGAGCGCGACGGTACAAAGGGAGTTAGTTTCAGGAGTGACCCAACTGGAAAAGTCGAAAGCAAGAGGTGCTAGGCGCGAACAATGGAGGCGCGTTGTAAAAATCACTTCAGCCCCATCTATGCACTTTGCCGGAAATGAGCCACTGCCCGTCATATTTAGGGCTCTAGCTTGCCTTTTATAGGTTTTCTTCGAAGTTCAAATTATCGTTCTCGTAGCCCTCACCTGTCAAAAAGGGTTCATCCATTGAGAAAAGGGGCGTATGTGGTGCGACAGTTACGCAGCCAGCAGAAATTCCAAATTTTTGCATGTGGAGGAAAACCGCGTTCATGAAACATTTCGGTTCTCGATATACCCACCGTTAAGCATGCCTCTTGCTTGAGAAAAAATTGGATTCCTTTGGGCAATATAAGCTATTGCACCCCATGCCCCCTTACAGGATGTTTTGATTTCCTATTTTCGAGAGCATTTTTGACTGCTTCTATTTCGAATTACTTTAGCGAGATCAAATCTATTGTATGGAAGGGGTTTGATTATGGTGGTCCATTTCAGGGTGCCGGAACCGCCAACGGCGATTGAACACATCTACGAGTACACCAAGGAGAAAATCTTAGACGTTATGGTGAGTACAGACTGTTTCATACTGTAGCAGAATTTTTGGCGCGCCTATGTGCGCTACTGGGGGAGGGGGTATTTACATATGGCTAAGCCTGAAGGACGAGGGCAGGAATTTCAAGGCAAATGGAAATCCGTTCAAAGCTTATTGTTAGTCCCGATTTCAACCAAAAGGAGATGTTTCATGTGGTTCTAAGTGACTGCAACCACAATGGCCCCGTATCTGGCGATAGCGCAATTTTTATTTTTGAGCCAAGACTAAGGAATGCTGTTCAATCCTTTCTGAAAATCTTGAAGACACATTTCACGTCAACCTGGGATCTCCACCGCTTAGAAGATATGTACGCAACAAACGCAAAAAGTGTTCTGCCATTTTTCGCAGGTCAAAGCGTTGGCAGAGCTTATTAGCGCCCTTTGCAATACCGCCCCCACCACTCGCGAACGCAGCCATGGTGTTGCTGCCACGAAGGTCTGCCTCTCTGTCATCTCTATTCTTTCTCCTGCCTTCTTTGTCAGACACCCTCTCTCGAGCACGCACTCTTATGGGCTATAGGGCGTACATACCATAACCAACTACGTCGAAGAAGTCTTCCTCAAGGCGATTTCATCAATTCCTTTTGCTTCTTTCTTCATTGTCGAGTCAAGAGTGACCCATACCACAGCCGTGAAATGTGCCTTTCAGTGATAATCGGCTCAAAAACGATGAACTTTTCAAGTTTTAGTTCTTTTCAAGTTTATGAGCCGATTATCACTGAATCAGGCTTTCGATCCCCATTCACTGTCACGGAAGTTTCTGGAAGCACATCGATCCTAGATATTTCAGTGTTTATTGGTTCATATTTGCTTGACTTCATTGTTAGCCCCTGGGAAAGAAAGAGCTGATACGTCGTGGTGTAACCCGAACTCGTAGTTTGTACCGACATCGGATGACATTTCTATTCACTGCATTAGTTCCACTTCTTATAGAGGTTCTGAATAGCCTAGAATGAACAAATCCACAATGTCAGCTGGTCCCATATAGGGTTATTGTCACTGTGCGTACTTGGCTTCCATCGGTAAAGCTCTAAAATTTATAGTGCACGTGGAATTTATAGCTGCCCGCCGGCAGACCAGCCTTTTTCAATCTTTACGCTGCCTTCACTCAGTTCATAGCTATTCTGGATGGAAGTGTAGAAGAAAACTGCGTCGCTACTATACAGGGGTGGCCAAAAAAAGAGACACTTCACTCCACATTCAAAACGGAATTATTTACGCGTTGCGAAACCAAACCAAATGACCCAACTGAATATTGAAGAGCACGTTATAATCTATCAACAAGCTACACAACAGCCTTCTACACCGACGACATCAGAAGATTTTCCCACGGAAACATTGTGCACGGTACGAGCTCAACGAGGTCGTCGAGATACCATAGACGATTACGACGTCTCTGAAACGCTGGTCAAAAGAAACGACAAGCCTTTGAGCTCGACGGTGACGGCAGATGACGTCATATTCTGAAGACGGCAGGGGCAGTGAAGGAGGGCTTGCTTCTGTTTACGGGGAACAACTAAGGAATATTTCGCCGATTCGAATGAGCGGGGCCATGGCTAAGGTCTCTTTTTTCCCCCCTGTATAATATAATATAAATACTACATCCCACTGGTGAGCTAATATGCCGGGAATTCGGGAACTCTTACTCATGAAAATGATCCTTCCTTTGCATGACGGTTGATTAGCATCAAATCCAAATTGAGATTCACAAGGTGTTGGTTTATGAACCGAGCACTTCATTCTAAGCAAGAATCGAACCCACTCGCACTGCTCGCTTCCCGTGCAGTTGTGCTGCCGAGCTACCGATTACCCTACGACACTATGTTTTTTTCATAACGCAAGCCCGCACAAAACGACGGCGTTACCCGGTCAAATAGGAGCTATTATCGATGTGCGACAGGATAAAAACCAGGACAACTTGTAAGCAGCTCAAGCAAGACAAAACCTCTTCTTTAGCCCATATACAAGCCAGGCGCGAGAACGTAACTCTTCCTAAGGTCGCATAGAAGCCAGGGCTGGGAGAAGGACGAAGAACTGAATTTCAACCAGAAATCCCGAACTTTGCCTTCATTTCAGCTTTCAGTGGTATATTCATCGTTGCTTACCAACAGACTGAATTGCCCAAACGGATTCGGGATAGGGGAGAGATTCGTGGCCCAGCACAAGCTTTGAATTGATCAATAATACCAATCGTTCACTCCTTCTGTTGCCGTTCGAATGGGGATTTTTTTTAAAATCCAGCTGCATTTGAATTTTGTTTAAATAATTATTATAAAATTAAATTAGGTCAGCTAACATTTATTTGCAAACAAGAAAATAACTCTTTTGTGAAAATCGGCTTTTTTTCAGGAAGACAATCAAATGCTGTCAGTAATCGGTGTCGGAGGTCTGATACTGATCGTCGCCATCACTCTGATTATCAAAGCCTATCGAATCAAACAACAGGACAAAGCGAAAAGCGCCTAGACGATCAATTACAACCCGAAATATCAACTTTCTAGGGGTTTTGGATTGATTTTCACAAGAGGCATGTATAATTTGAAATCGTCATCATTCATGTCGATATCTTTGTAGACGTGGCGAAATCGTACGTGGAAGGGAGGGCGTGTTTGGTGGTGACGAAATTCGTTGCACCGCTGTCGTTTCCCGTTCGCCATCACAGAGCGATCACTGGTTTGCCGAAGAGCTGGGCTGTCGTAATGAATCTGCTGTCCATTTTTGAAAACCATCTATTTATTGATTGCCACCGCTAGCTATAGCTTTGCGCTTTTCCTTTCACTTTAGCGATCGATATCTCTAGTTTTAGTTTTTCCTCTTCTGGTGCTTCTAACGCTCTAGCATTTGATGTCTTACTTCAAAGTTACCACAACAGTGATTACAATTAGTAGTTGATTAAAAATAATTTTGGTGCCAAGTGAGTTGGGAGGGGGGGGGGGCAGGCGGTGGCGTCTGTCAAGCGCGATATCACTGAGCCTGAACCTAGAAGGAAGCTCAAATGTGCCAAAGTTGCATTCTGCGAAATCACAAACTACAATGTTCTTAGCCTATCTCCTCCTCTCTAGGCTTAGGCTTAGTCCCGTCGCGCTTGAGGGATCGCGCCAATCATAATGCCAAGTAAGTTAGAAGGCGTGTGGTCCCTCCTAACTCACTTGGCACTATGATTTTGGTTGCTGCAGCTTGAATATTGCCGCAGGGATCTCTAACGAAACCTTAGACGTTCTCAAACTAACCCCTGGAAAACCTAAAAGGTTCTCTGAGAGACATACGAGGGCTTTTTCTCATAGATCCCAAGATCTGGAACAGAAGGTTCTTTGGCAGAAGTTATAGTAAGGATAGGAGGCCAACGCCGGCCAAACCTCATGCAGCTTGCCCACGGCCGACGGGGTTAGCTTTAGGTCTATGAATGTAGGTAACATAAACACGTCTGGCAATTTCAATAGAAAATTATACTGGGGTTTCTTTTGTTTACTGCTATTTTAAGTCGCAGTTTTCGATGCAAAAGCTATCACAAGGATGCTGGGTTATGAGCAAAACACTTCACTCCAGACGGGAATCGAACCCGCCGT